GATGCTTTATTTTGAGGTGAGGCGTCTACAGGTTTTGTTTTGGCCAGAGCACATTCTTTTGATTGCGAAGATGATGTGGCAGCCAGTGCAGATAATGCGGATCGTACATGGCATCCTAACACATGAAGCGATGGAAGAAGAGCGCAATATTGGAATGTTTGAGAAATTGGCAACAAAGATGGCAAAGAAGGCAGACTTCTTTTTCGTGGTAAAAAAGAAGAATCCAGCAAATACACCTTTTCTTCTCAACAATAGGCAATTTATTTCGATGTGCTCATATTACCCTGGTTACAGACACGCACTGCTTGGCATGTGACGCCGTTGACTCAACAGGCAATGCAGTCAGTGGCAAATAAGAAGAGAGGATTGGCTGCCCTTTCGTTGAGTCTCATGTTCTTTGTGCCGCATTGCTTCAATATGGGAAACAGGGAATGCCTACCCTGGTCATTTACACTAAGCTATATCTTTATATTCTGTCCATGAAACAAACAACTTTAAATGCATACAAAGCGAGACCGTCATTCTTTTAGTATCTGAAGCCTCTTACTAACACATGAACAAATAGCACACTCCCACTGCGGCATTGCGGAAATCAGTTTTGTGGAGAGCATGAGGAGGCATAGAGTTTGGAGGTCCTCGGGGTACCAGTGGTCTTCAATGATGCATCTGTCATCGTCCATTGAATTGACCACTTCACTCAGAGCTGCTGACATCCCCTAATGGCAAATGCTTCAATTAAATGGAAAGAATCTGCCAAAGTTGGCACATAACGCCATCTCACTTATGCGATTAGGTAAGCTGAAAACAATGTCCCCACACTCGTGTCAAAACCAAGCATCGCTGGTTCACCCAAGTAAGTAAGCGATTTGCCTGTGAGAGTGGCAGAAGTATTGCAGACCACTTGCAAGTCAGCGTGAATGTTTCTCTCACTTTGAGAAGTCAAGGCTAATTAGGAGAAAGACACCAAAGTCATTGGAAATGCCTTTGATTTGCATTGAGGATGACTGGTGTGAGCAAACACGTGCAGCATTGTGAGCAAATCCTCTTCTACTGACAAATCTCACCTTCATGACACATTGCATCAGACTGCATTGTGGTGTGTCGGTGCAAAACCTGTCAGGTCGTCTCACCTTTGCATTACTTGAGTCGGTGGGAAGTTGGGGACACGTGGTGGGCCATGATGAGGCACAGCACACCGTGCGAGGCTTGTGCTTGACAATCACTTGGCATCTCCTATGCAAGCGTAATTAAAGCATTGAGTAATGTTGGCTTTTGCAGAAGTTTGCATTGTGGAGCTGGAATGGTGTGCGGAAGCAGGTGGGAAATTATAATGAGGTGTGAGGATGTCGATGCCCACGCAGTCCACATTCTTCCTCAATGTCGCATTTCCTCTTCGGGCTACCGCTTACACCTCTCCTTGCTACAAACCTGACATTATTTCTTCATGCGGATGGATGGTGCACATGTTGAGATTGTTGGTTACTTCGTTTATCATGTGGAACACTTTGTCTGTTACTGCGACATGTTTACCCAAGTCACTTGCAGCATTGGTGCGATGGAGTTCTCGGGCAGTGAGTCAACTGTGCTGGGCTGCAGTCGATGTTACCTCCAACAGAATGGCAGCTTTCTAAGAAGGAAAATGGGATTTCTAGGGGTATTCCCCTAATGTAGTTCCTTATCCTACTCTGCTCCTTTAAATGAAGAGCACCTGACTTGCTATTATTTAGCGTTAGAGTGGAAACAGTGGGTGCATTCAGGGAAGTAAAGGACA